TTAAAATGTAAGTATAGAATTGTTTAAGAAAATGGTTTCTTCTTATAAAGCAACATTCTGCTAAGAAAAAATAACAAACAGTAGAATGCCCTAAATTCACAATCACAATCCAGTAAAAAAGCCTTCTAAAAGACCTGATTAACTTTGTGTTTTAGGCTTATTAAGGAAACAACTGGCATAGCATTGTATGCCCTGTATTAAAAACTCTTTGAAAATGTTTTTCATTGCTTCCATTTAAGTGTACTCTTTTAAAATGGCATGAGTTACAGAACCCCTGCAATCTCACTAGCCACATTTTTCTTCTGGCAAAAATGTCCCAGTAAAAGGTATTAATATCTTCTGTTTGTCTGCAGGAGGTTCATGGTGTGCTGTCAGAGTTCATCCGTCTCAACCCCCGGGCCTGGGCCCCTCTGGTGTCCGCCTGGGCTGTGGACTTGTTGGGCCAGCTGAGCAGCAAGCATGCCGGCCGCAGAGTGGCCCCCCACTCCTCCAGCCTCAACGAGCTGCTCCAGCTCTGGATGTCCTGTGCTGCCACCCGCTCCCTCATGGAGGCCTACTCCCAGTGTTTGGCTGCCATGCTGGCCTGGTGCCCTGACGCGTGTGTGGATGCTCTGTTGGACACCTCGGTTCAGCACTCGCCACATTTCGACTGGGTGGTTGCTCACATCGGCTCTGCTTTCCCAGGTACTATCATCAGCCGAGTCTTGGCATGTGGGCTCAAGGACTTCTGCTCTCACGGTGCTAAGGACACAGGGCTGATGGCGATGGGAGTGGATAAAGGCAGCAGAGTGCCAAAGATTGGCTCAGTGGTGGGAATCCTTGGACACCTCGCAGTGCACCACTCAGACAGCATCAGGAAGGAGCTGCTCAGGATGTTTCAGGAAAGTCTGTGTCCATCCAGCCCTCTATCTCCCACTTCATCCTCAACGTCCTGGGAGAGTTCCCCTCAGCTTCGTCGTGCTGCAGTTCCCTTTCTGCTCCAGCTGGCTGCAATGTCCCCCAACCTCTTTGGTGCGGTGTCAGCAGAGCTGGTGGAGCTGCTGCGCCCTCCGGTCCTGCTGCAGCTGCAGGCCGTGCTGCAGGGCATCCCCAGAGAGGAGCTGGATAACATGCTGGGGCTGGCTGTCCATCTTATTAGCCAGAGCCCATCGGGAGGGTCCCGTGTCCTCCGCTTTCTGGCAGACACAGCAACGCCAGCCTCCGTCATCATCTCAGGCCCCACGCCCTCCCCTCACGAAGGCGTCAGAGAAGGTTGCGATCGACTCCTCCAGATGCTGCTTTTGCATCTCCACAAACTGGTCTTCAACTGCTCAGAGGGAGCTGAAGTCAACCACCATCGCTCTGCCTCCACTCAACCCCGGAGGGTCATCCCCTTCCTGGAGGAGCTGCAGTCTCACGTAGGGGAGCTCTGTGCCGAGACACTGCGCCTGGAAAGGAAGCGTCACCTGTGGCTGCACCAGTTGCTGTGTCTGCTGTCGGTGTATGGGGGTCCCAGCGTGGCCACTGAGGCCCTCTGCCAGCTCCTCACACAGGCCCACAACCTGGAGGAGCTGGCCCTGGCCTGGCAGCTCCACAGCACGCTCTCCTCCTGCATGGCAGGACTCATTCCCGCCGCTGTAACTCGCTGTGTGGCCCAGATCCACACACACACTCTGGGGACCCAGCAGCTGACGCAGCTGTTGCTTAACATGGCCGCAGCCATCCAGAGTCAGGATGAGGAGAGGAGAGGAGCTTCAGGGGTTCAGTCCTCCATGGCCATCCAGGTGGGCTCAGCGGTCTCAGGATACCTCCATGATTTTGGCCCCCTCCTTCTCCATGGTGACCCAGATGTATCTCACGCTACAGTGCGCCTCCTCTCCTGCAGCCCTCTGCCTCGCACCTCCTCCCCAGCACACCTGCTCCTGCTCTCTCGTGCTGCTGTCACTCATTTCTTTGTGGCACTGCGGAGAAGAGGAGAAGGAGGGAAGCTGGAGAGAGACGGGGGACAGGCGTGCGAGGAGGTGAACTGCTCAGTCCTGCTGTTGTCCCGGTTTGCAGCGTATTCTTCGCTCACTCTCAAAGCGGTGCTCCAGCAGCTCGTTGAGGGGGCGCTCCATAAAGGCAACGCGGGCCTGTTTGGAGGGCAGATCGCAGACATGTCTGGGGCCCCTCTGCCTTCCAAGTCTGTGTCTCCTGACATCGGAGCCTCTCTGCTGGATATCAACTGTCGCTTCGGCACCACCGTCAACTTTTCTGGTAGCGTGTGGTCTGTGTTTCATGCCGGGGTGATTGGCAAGGGGCTGAAGGTCCGCACTGAAGCACAGCTTACTGACCCATCAGAGGTCATGCAGGTGAGTTTCACAATTTGAGATGATGATTAGTGCAGCTTCAAGAGCGGCCAATGCTAATGCCAATTAGAAAAGCGCTTCTTGATGAAGTCAGTCAGGAATGCTCATTTCAGCTGTTTTTTTCATTCAATTTTAACATGAAACTACATTATAACTTAAATATTTGATAGGAAATAACATTTTTAAATCTCATTGGGTGGAAGAAGATCTATATGATGGCTCACGCAATTCTGAATATTGCACAAGCAAAGAAACAGAAATGTATAAAAAAACATCCTGCATGTGACTCAACTACACCTTCGAAGTCATTTCAGTTGATTTACTTAGCTGTATTTGTTTTTAATGCTCTGCAGCTGCACTGAAAATGTGTAATTTGAAAAATGGTCTTCTCTCTGCAGAACGTCCAGACTCTGCTAGCTGTCGTCGTCCAGTGCTGCAGCTCCTCTGGTCTCAACGGCTCCCGACTTCCCTCTGACCCCGACGAGCCGCTGCCCATCAACGCCGAGGCAGCCAAGGTAGTTGCAGTTACGATGGTGGAAAATGTCTGTCCAGATGTGGCCAACGGTGAGCTGTCCTGGCCCCCTGAGGAGCACGCTCGCACCACAGTGGAGCGAGACATCCACATCCGGCGTTGCTTTGAAGCCCACCCGGTGCTCTTCCCCCTGCTGCAGGTGGTGGCTGCGGGACGCCCGGCTCTCTGCTACTGCTCAGCTGTGCTCAGAGGCCTCCTCGCCACTCTGCTGGCTCACTGGGAGGCCTCCCGTGAGGTGTTGTCCACAGACTCCCCGTGGCACCTCCAGGCCTCCTGCCTCCTGGTGTCCTGCATGGGTGAGGGCCAGCTCCTGCCCCCTGTGCTGGCAAACGTCCACGAAACCTTCCCTCACCTCACTCCATTCGAAGTGAGGCTGCTGCTAGTGGCTGTTTGGGAGTATGTGAGAGGAAATGGGCCCATGCCCCAAAAGTTTATCTTCAACTCAGAGAAGGGGTTGTTCTGCAGGGATTTCTCACGGGACGGCGACGTGGCAAGATACGTGGCACCGATTCATAGCGTGCTGCATAAAAACATTGACAGATTGGGACATCTGTGCTGGCGCTTCCAGCTTTAAAGAGTAGTGGGGAGCAAACTGTGTAGAATAGACAGGATGCTGTGTTACATTGGTTCAAAAGAGGACTGCAAAGTTGCTTTCACTGTACTCAAGTTTAAAGTATAGATGTGTGCATTTGTTTGTGTGTGAGTGTGTGCCTTTTTGTACCATATTTTTTTAGACTTCATAGGTTTCTTACTAGTTGTTTCTGTGACGAATACAAGGGTACATGAGAAATGGCACACACATTTATGTTAGCACAGACATTATTCACACAAAACACAGCCTTAATGTCTAATTTTGTTTGAAATTACAACTGTACTCTGGTAAATCACTTAAATGTTAGTTTTGTATCATTTTCAGTTGACCAACGTTCTGAAATTGTGGCTACAAACATGCCTTGCATCTATTGTTATATGCCCTAAGCTGTTGTTTCAACCACTTAACAAAATAAATAATTTGGTCGTAGTTTTGTAAGTGTCTTGAATTGAATTTCCTTCTTAATGGTCAAATGTTTTATCACAGCAGTCTCTTGGTGATTAAAGTGAACACCACAGTGTCGCATTTCCATGTTTTTTTGCATACTGTAAATCCTCTGAGCCAGTGGTTTCCAACGTTTTGATTGTGATGGCTTAAAAGTGAGCATAAAAACGCAGGAAGGTGGTTTTCCTTCTTGGAATTTAAGTTTTTATTTTCTTTAGAAGTATTTATTTGAATTATTTCAGAGGTAAAGTCAACTGTTTTTCACAAGTAAAAAAGAAAATAAAAAGCATTTTCAAAAGTAAAAAACTAGCAGATTTTGTATTTGCTTCAATAGTAGGTATTTTATACACCAGTAAACATCTCTCCACTAATTTTCCTGTAAACAACAGAACCGGTTTGGACAAACGCCTGTACATTATAATGCATATATAATGTAATTGTTTTTACAAGGGGCAGAACAAATAAACTATAATATGTTAAATATTATTCTACAGAATTAAGAAGCCTTTTAAAACAATGAACTCTTCTCAAAAAAATTACTTAGTATTGATTGACTTTCTCACAAATATGACTTAGTATCTCAAAATAATGAATATCTTTCTCACAATAATTAATAAGTAGGCTATCTCAAAAACGAGAACCAAAATAATTAGTAGGCTATCTCAAAATGAGATGATAATGATAAGATAACAAATCAATTATTTCAAGTCAAGACACCCATATTTTGAGATAAATCAGTAATCGAGAAAGCTATACATAATATAGTACGACCTCGACTACATTTGTTATTTGCAGAGGGATCAGTTGGAGATTTCTGAACAAATATCAAAATGCAGCTTGGGGTGACGTGTCCGTGCCTGAGAGGATGAATATGCAAACCAAGTTCACATTACATCCTACTTTATCAGGAACAAGATCAAAAGATAACAACAAGATTGGTTATTATCAAAATACATAACGTAAATGTTATAATTTGTTTACGAGTTTAAAGAAAGACAGCAACCAATTTGTCAGTTATTTATTTTTCTACGATTTTTGTAACGGACTGATATGGGCGGAGCTTAGCGGAAGCATATCCAAGATGGCCACCTTCACTGAAAGGTAAGACAAAGCAGGTCCGCTGTTTCATCCTACATTTATAATTTGTGTGATATATAATAATATAGCGGGAGGCCATGAGATTAACACTGGGGTTAAACACTTGGTGGATATGTAATCAAATGTATAGGTTGAGGGTTTAATGGCCACTAGTTTAAATCACTCTGGAACAGTCTCTAACCTCTTCAATTGAATTAACTGACAGTGCCGCTGTTAGCACGGTTAGCACGATAATCCTGATCCTAAAAGGAAATTAACAGCAACACTGATTTCAAACAACCAGGTAATACACCGTCTCTTAAACACTGACATATCACCGTTGTCGTTTTAGAAATGTGGGCCTGTTTTGTTCATGTATTTTGTTCCTAAAATCCGATTGAATGCAAGCTAACTGTAGCCCACATTAGCGGATACGCTAGCTAATATTGTCTCATCATTTCAAGCACAGCACGTCACCCTGTTTGACAGGAGCAGTGAGGTCTGGAAGTAAGTCTTAACATGCAGGCTCAGGGAAAACGGGATTTTAGATGTTAAATGTTACTGTATATGCACACTGAAGCAGGTTGAGGAAACGGGAAATTGGTTAGCTGCCTTTGACGTTTTCACTGGAGGACACATTTGACCAGTTTAGAGAGATCAAAGTCCGGATGTGTGTGGGTAGTTTGTATAACCCTAACTCATGCGCTTGTGCTGTAATTTGGTAGGGGTCCTCTTGGGTAATTATCTGTGTATTGTTCAACAAAATGTGAGTTCATGATTTAGTGAGGTGACCATAAAGTCTACATTGTCTTCTTGATTTTCTTCGTAGGATGGCGCCTGTCTTGGTGCTTTGGCTGGCCGTGTTCCTCAGTGGGACCTGGGCTGTGGACAAGGGCAACTTCAAGACCTGTGACCAGAGCTCCTTCTGCAAGTGAGTGCAAGATAGACAAATTATACATTCACCAAGCAGTGTGAAGGAAGCTCAACATGGCTAAATGTCAAATAAATAATCATTTTAATGTGTATGATACATTGTCCCTTTTTTATAAATACAATCTATTAATGTTCTACTAGGGAATGACATTTGCACATGCCAAGTATAGGGTAAATATGGGATGTGGCAGGTAAAACTAGAAAGAAAGACATTTGTCTTTTAAGTAGCTCCTCTTGAATAATGTAAATGCCACTATACTATACAATCAATTATAGGATATTTTCTTCCAAACACCTATACTGTGATGAACGTAGGGAAAACTGAGGGGGATCTACAAAGAAAATATAAATATCTGGCAAAAATTCAGCTAAAAGCATGTCAAAAAGATATAACAAGGAAAAGGTATGAACAGAGCCTCCAGGGATAGAACATTGGTTCAAGATGGTCCATGATATCTATTCAATGGAAAGCTAACATAACAATTGTGAGCAATTTCATTGACAAGAACTAGGAAAAATGCCATCATTGACATAAACATGAGGCCAACAATGACTGAACTGTGAAGTTAGGAAATAACTGAGAATGGAAATGTATACATACATGAGATGCCCCTCAAACATTTGACTTGCCTTAAAGAGCCTGTGACACGAGTTTCCCCCATCATCCAAACCCATCAATTTGAGTAAATATTGTCCCCTTGAAAACCGTTACTGAACTGATTTTGGATATTTGTACTTTGATAACCATTAATCTGCCCTTCAATGTTGACCATTTTCTGGATCTGCTCGGGGATTCTTCAAGTCCCGCCAAATGATGTGTGACGTCATTGCGGGCACAGCGCTCCAGCTGCACCGTTCAGGATCCCAGCATCTGCATGTAAACGCACGATGGCGCACACAGCAGCAAGCTCAGACAGCGATGACAGATTAATGTTGAACGTGTCTGAGAGCTCATGAGGCTGAAGGATCGGTTTATGTTGTATCTGTTAGAAGTTTATTAGGTGCGTCAATATGGGCGATCATACGGTCATGTAGCCAGTGGTGGAATGGGACTAAAAATCATCCCGGGACTCTCGACCGGCCCACTTCGGTACCGCTAGTAAATTGTCAACGGGGGGAGTGGGGGATGTCAGGGGCGGCGGGTGCTGTAGATAGTAAATGTAAATATGTAAATATTTGTGTCACTGCATCCTGGTACAATACAAATATAATGCAATGTCTGTGTCTTTGACATTAGCGCTGCCAGCCACCTGTGCCCTGTACTACGAAGCCAGTTCAACAGACCCTGGATATGTTTGAGTAACAAACAAACTAACAACAACAAACTAACAAACAAGATCTCGCTAAGCGGTCCTACGACGCTGGTTATCAACTCGGTAAATCAAGCCAGGGTTTCTCTCACCAGCTGAGAGCGCGTTCACGTCTAAGACACGAGTGGATCTGACTTTAATTACATTTGACTCGAGTGTTTCGTCAACATAATTTGTTGCTTAAAATAATACTTCTGCATAGAGTATGTGACACTGTAAGTGTTGCACGGCCAGATACGGCTGGAGAAGCTGACTCAGATAAGGAAATATATGATATATTATGATATTATATGATCGATGATCTGATCGATGATGTAATATGAATGATAAGTGCGACACGTCGGAGTCTTCTCTGCATACGGCAGTTTAAACTGTATTTCCTTTATCCTGTAATATGACTTGATAGATTTAAACTCCGCACACTGAGTTGATCTCTTTTCTATAGACGCCGGAGGCGTAAAAAAAGTTATTTAGCCTTCCCAAACCTGAGCCTCACGCGCCGCCTATGGGGGATGTGCTAGTGACTTATCCGACCGGCCCACTTCGGTACGGGCCCATCGGGATTCGTCCCGATGGCCAGTCCGCCACTGCACCCAGCCCACGTAAACTGTCAACGGGGGGAGCCTCGCTGCGGGGAAACGGTGGACCTAGTGTCCCGATCGGAGTGGGAATAATAATAATAATCCGTGCATTTTATCCATTAATTTCCCCAACATTGTGGTGAAAAAAACACACGTTTAATCCATGTTGGTGTACTACAACTACAAAAAGCATCGGTTTGTTTTCTCATCAGACCGGCTCAAACAAACGATTTTTAATCATCATCCTCACGATCATTTAATCTATCATATGTTCGCCGAATTGACATGAAAGCACTAATACATGTAGTTTCATCCACTTGAGTTTACAACTACAAAAATAATCGATTTGTTTTTATATCACATCCGACGGGAGGAAATTCAGTAGCTCTCACTACCGATTTTTAATCCTAATGTAATCATCATCTTCACCACGATCATTTATGTTTATGTTCGCCGACTTGACATGAAAGCACTGACAAATATGAATATACTGTAGTCAACTTCATTACAACGTTATTAACGTGCCTAAACTCAGTAATTCACCATTTCTACGCATGACAACGCACTTTGTCCGTGTTTGGCTCTCTCGCCGCACAGTGAAGCGTTCCCGCATTGACGTCACTTCCGGCTTCCCCCAAAACTTCAAAATGAGTCGAAGGAATTTCCCCGCGATGTTCGAAATTATTGATATTTAACGGAACGGTATCGCTTTTTCTTTTTTAAACTGACGGTTCGAGATTACTAGTAGCCCAATATTTCATTGCACAACAGTTGTTGGGATGCTGTCACAGGCTCTTTAAGTTGTTGTATCTAGAAAAAGCACACAGTTACTGATTTATCAACGGTGGTCACACTTCTTATTACATTTTAAAAACAGGCGTCAGCGGGCATTGAAGCCTGGTGAGTCTCCCTATCGAGCGCTGCTGGAGACCATGGAGCTGACCAACACCAGACTCACGCTGCAGCTCATCAATGACAACAACAAGGTAAATCACACACTTACAGAAGCAGCTCACTATGGAGGAAAGCATGGCTGTCAGAAGGAAGAAGGCAATTACATCAAGTCTGTAAGATGTACTTAAAATCACAAATGTAAATTAAATTATTAAACTGTTAACAAGTGACAATATGGCCTTATATTAATGCCAATTCCCTGATTAGGTCATCTGAATGATATAATGAATGCAAGTCAGCAGTTTCCCCAGCTATCAAAGTCAAATGCCTTGCATGGCTTAGTGTAATGCCAAAGAAAAACTGTCCCTTGGCTGAACCCGTAGGCCGACCTGTACTTTATTAGATTATAATGAAATTCCTCTGTACTCTCTATGCTTCTCCTCCATCTCCCTCCTTTCCCTCTGACCCCCATTCCCTTTTCTCTCTCTCACACTATCTCTCTATTTGCATCTGCTATCAGGTGCGCCTGCTGCTCGAGCTCTATCGTCTCCAGGGAAACATGACGAGGGTGAAGATTAACGAGCTGAAGCCGCTGAAGCCTCGCTATGAGGTCCCAGACGTGCTCATCAGGGAGCCGCCGACTGAGCCGTGAGTCTTAGGGGTGTTATCAACTGTGTGTGGTGGGGGGGTGGAGGTCTTGATATGACAGAATCAAACTCCCAGTGTCTTTTTTATTAATGTATTCCTTATTTACTGATTTTTCTTAGTCTCCATTTGGACCTGAAATCCTCTCACATTCTTTTGGGGTAGAAAGATTTACATTATTGAAAAAGAGCAAGTCAATAAAGAGCATAGATAATATTTAGTGGAATCAAAAACATTTTGTGTTCTACTTTAGGTTGAGGCATGTTCCCACGGTGAATAACCTGATTGAGAATCTACCAGTGAAATAAAAGAGCATACTTGGAGAGAAGCCAGCCTTCCAGATAATTGCCTTCTGGCTTCATCCCTCAGAATCAAATTTTAGACGTTCAACCCTGAAGTTTAGTTTTGCTTAACTAGGATTTAAAAAAATACCTCCTAAACTATCTGTACATTAACATGTTTTTTTCAGTAGGTGAGAGGAGTTTGGTTTTACCTGAAGTAAGCTGTCTAACAACAGAGGGTGTTACTGCCTAAATACAATTCCCTTGACTTTTTGTTTTCAAACCAAACCTTTTATTTAACTTTACCTCCTCTCTCTCGCCCTCTTTCTCTCCCTGCCTCAGCCTGTCACTCTTGTCTCAGGATGAGAACGGGGTGGTGCTGTCCCTGGGGGCGGAGTCTCAGAGAGTCATCCTCAGCGCCCGGCCTTTCCGATTGGACATCATGGAGGGACGAGACGTGGTGATGTCGCTGAACTCGCGCGGCCTGTTGGCCTTTGAGCACCTGAGGATGCGCAAGGACACGTGAGAAACCACGCATGCACACACATGCCCAAAATGCCAACCCTTTTTTAATCCACGTCTTCACTCAGTGGATGATTTAGATTTTTGTTCCCATGAAATGGTTTGTTTTTTGAGTATTGTCTCTGACTGGTTGTTCTGTCTTCTCCCTATCATCCTAGTTTCTCCTATAAAGTAACTAGCACAGTGGCTAGCGTGTGGAATAATATCAAGAGAGTATTCTCTAGGTAAAGACCGTTAAGATTTGTAAGTGTGTATCCTGTTCCTTGTGCTAATGCTGCCAATAGTGACAAAGATTATAGGGACTCCCATCGCACCAAGTTAAGTGTTTACCCTCCAATAAATGTGAATGAGAGAGGGATTTGGGGGGCGTGTGTGTGTGCATGTTGGTGTTTAATTTGATCCGTAATTAAAGGGTCGATCCCGCCCCTGTTATCATTAAAGGGTCGTTGAAACTAATAATAAGTAATTGCCACTCAGGGTGTAGGTGTTTAGTCTCATTTCATGAAACAAAGAAAAATCATCCTGATTTCATCCTGAGAAAGAAAAACACATTCACCTGAATGATTTAGGGTCTGCTGTGATTTCCTGTCTGTCAGATTAACCTAAATGTCTATGTAGCGTCCCTTTTTTAGATCTAACAAAGCAACTGCATGACTGACTGTGTGTCCTGAGCAGTTCTGTTGACTTACACTAGTTTCCCCGCTTTCTCAGCTCATGGTGAGAGCTTCCATAGATAACATAATAAGATAGTTGCAGCAGGTGTTGACTAGTTTAAAAGACACAAAAGATCATTTCTCTTTACAAACACACCAAACAGAAAACAAGTGATTTATTTGATAGTACTGCAGCCCAGTTCCCAAACCTAACCGCAACACTGTCTTTGTGGTTTTACTTCAGTTTGCATTTTATTTAAAGTGTCCAAAGCTCCTAAAATTGGGACATTTTCAGTTTTATTTTTTTGGAACTGTGCTTCTTTAGAGCTCTGGACCAATCCTCTTATTATTGTGGAGAAATGCTTCTGTAGGCCCCCTCATTATGTTGTGTTTGTGGTGTGTTAAGACCGTCCTGCATCCACGTACGCAGTGTGGCTGCAGTTTAAGATGAATGAATAATGTTAGAGTGAAACATTAACAATTAACGCATCAAATTCAAACATCGTCAAACTAAATCCTTAATTTGAATAAATAGATTCATCAAATATTTATTTTTATCAAATCATTTGAAATAATGAATAAATCCATATTCATCAATAAGTTCCTTTTTGGCACCTCTGCCTCCTGCTTGGGCTGCAGACCTCTCCCCCCCCACAGCTGCGTGTGTCCGACACATTTCTATCACTTGATGCAATGCTAAGGCTTTGATCCCACCATGGTACCCGGGGGACCCTCTGGGTACCAGGTGTTGCATGTAGCAACCTCTAGAGGTCCTATCCCATAATGCCGAGCTTAAGGTAGCCACAAGGTAGGGAGCTGCTCAGTCCCCTTCTTCATTAAAGCTGATGAAGTCTTAACCTTGTAGAGTTTTTGTTAGTACTCATTGTAGATTCTTGGGGCATTTACCAACCTCCCTGTTTGTATGTTTTCCTTTTTGTTATAGTTTGATTATACTCCCATATTATCGTGTCAAGATAGTCTCTGCCAAAGTGACACATCTCTCTTTTTCCAATATTCCCGTCATCACCCCTCACTCCATTATGTAGCAGTCAGGCAGACCCAGAGGCTGAAAAGAAAGAAGAGGCCGATCCAGCAGCCCAGCCCGAGGTACTACACGCTAAAATAAGAATGAACATAAAAAGTTCATTATAACATGCTCTACGCTGTCTCTTCGCTTGTGAATCATCCTACTGTTCTCCCTGTCTGCCTGCCAGGCAGCAAAAGAGGAAGAGAAAGATGAAGACGGGATGTGGGAGGAAACTTTTAAATCGCACACAGACAGCAAACCTAATGGTATGCTATACTTGTATTTCAGTTTGCAAGTTAAAGTGAAACTCTTAATATCTCCCTGAACCCCAAGCAGTTTCAGGTTGCTGTTGGTTTTTGTCACATTCTTCTCACTGTTGCCTTGTTTTCACTACAATATATATATATATATATATGTCCTGCTCCTCTAGGCTAACCGCACAATCATGCCTAGAAGTACAGATACAGAAATGTCTTTGGTGCAGTGCAGGTCTTTAGTGTCATGATGTTTTTAGGTTAACTCTCCTCTTAACTGATAATCGGTTGCTCTCGCCTCACAGGTCCATCTGCTGTTAGCTTGGACTTCTCGTTGCCGGGTGTGGAGCACGTCTACGGCATCCCAGAACATGCAGACACCCTCAGACTCAAAACCACAGAGTGAGCGTCAACAAGTCTTTTTTCACATATAAAGTGTAATATGAGTTGCCTGGTTGCATCTTTGAGTGTTTCTTTCTCTGTTTCAGAAATGGAGATCCATACCGCCTCTATAACCTGGACGTGTTCCAGTACGAGCTGTACAACCCCATGGCCCTCTACGGCGCTGTCCCCGTCATGTTGGCCCACAACGCCCAGCGGACCACCGGCGTCTTCTGGCTCAATGCTGCGGAGACCTGGGTGGATATCAGCTCCAACACAGCTGGAAAAGTATGTGCATTTTTTTTCTTCTTCCTTCGTTATTTGGAGTTTTTTTGTTAGAATAAGACAAAAAAGAGCAGTTGGGGTCTGTAACACCAGAGCTTCTCTTACTTATTGTCTCTCTTTTCAGACTGTGTTTGGAAAAATGCTGGATTATGTTCAAGGCTCCAATGAGACTCCACAGACCGACGTGCGTTGGATCTCTGAAAGCGGCATCATCGATGTCTTCATTATGCTCGGGCCCACACCCAAAGATGTCTTCTCTCAGTATGCCTCCCTCACAGGTAGGAAGATGGACGGACAAACACTTATTGCCCTATTTCCCACGCTTCCAGTAGTTTAAGCGAGGTCATATACATTATTTGAAATGTCATAATATTTATGACTAAATTCCTCCATATTGCAACAATATTGTGGAATTACTATCAGTGCTTTTTATACCATATTTACATAATGAGATGTTTAAAATAATAATTATAAATTACATAATGACTTACTGGGTAAGGATATAATACAAATTGGAAAATGTGTGTCATGCAGACTTTAAAACCTGAAAAACACAAGACTGTCATATTACAATATAAACATCTTACGCTCTTGTGACTTATCGTAATATCAATATAATATTGATATTTAGCACAGCCCAACATGTTCGACTGTCCTCCTCAGCCCTCACTTTTCTTCCTCCCCCTGCTGTCCATCAGGCACCCAGGCCTTCCCCCCCCTCGCTGCTGTGGGTTACCACCAGTGCCGCTGGAACTACAACGACCAGGAGGATGTGGCTGCAGTGGATGCGGGCTTCGATGAGCACGACATCCCATATGACTACATCTGGCTCGACATTGAGCACACTGATGGCAAGCGCTACTTCACCTGGGATCCACACAAGTTTGCAACTCCAAAGGAGATGCTGCAGGGTCTCAGTGACAAGAAACGCAAGGTAATTATGACCAATAATCCAAAATATACCAGCAGATAGTTCCCCACAGCTACTGGAATGTGGAGCCTCAACTTTTCACTTGTAAATTCATTCATGCTACAATAACCATAGAAGTGGTGTTGATTTGTTACGTTTGAGTAAATTCCCTTCAGGACTAGCATGTACACTTTCCACTCAGTCTTCTGTTATTGTGTATTTTTTATAGATGGTGGCCATTGTGGACCCTCATATCAAAGTAGACAGCAATTACAAGATCCATAATGAAATCCGCTCTCGGAGTTTCTATATCAAGAATAAAGATGGCGGGGACTACGAGGGCTGGTGCTGGCCTGGTAAGAAACTATGAATGCAGAAAATGTTTTTATAACTAAGCTTTATGAACTGGATCTTTACTGAGAAACATTTAAAGTGATGTTTACCCAAATGTGCAGAGAGATCATTCCAATGTTTATTTCACTCGCATTCCTTTGTGAACTGATCATCTATAGGTAGTGCCGGCTATCCAGACTTCACCCGAGCAGACATGAGGGACTGGTGGGCCAGCATGTTCGCCTACAATCAGTACGAGGTGAGTCCGGACCACAGTTGTTGGTTTTCGGGCCATTCACACTGAATTCTTTGAGAAAGGATATCTGCAATTCTAGATTCTGTTCCAAGATTTGTCGACTATTCGTGGATTCAAAATGACACCTTTCCCATAATATCCACCTTTTCCCTCCGCTCTCCAGGGTTCCATGGAGAACCTTGACACGTGGAACGACATGAACGAGCCGTCAGTGTTTAACGGACCGGAGGTGACCATGCACAAGGACGCAATGCACGGAGCCTGGGAGCACCGCGACGTGCACAACCTTTATGGCTTCTATGTGGTGAGTGCTCACAATCTGTCTATGGCTGAAACCTTTTTTGTGTATTTCCGAACATTTCATATTTCTTTGGTTGGGTGCTGCTCATGCATGATTGTTACTATTGTTGCGTAGGCCACTGTAGATCATTTTTGAGAAAATCCAGTTGGGTCAAAGCAGGTAGAACATTTCTGAACCACACCAAACCAGGAGCTCATAGTGCAGAAATCTGTGTTTTAGCAATAGATATCATTACATTTTTCCTTGATATTCTGCTACCACTTCCCACAAGGGGCAATTTAAATATTGTACACAAGGTTTTTAAAAGGATTTTCTAGGTCATAGTTCACAATATCTCTTTTTAAGAGAACAAAATATGCTCTTAAAATGGTCCAAATACCCCCTCTGACTATCCTGTGTGCAACCTGCAGCAAATGGCCACCGCGGAGGGTCTGATCCAGAGGTCCGGAGGAGTCGAGAGACCGTTTGTTCTGACCAGAGCCTTCTTCGCTGGCTCACAGCGCTACGGTAAGCAGGATCCATTCTGCTAAGCTGCATATATTACCTTACTTTTAATTGAGGTTTCATCCAGAAAAAATAAATGTCTATCTTCTCTAGAAACCTCGATGTCAGGCTGTTTTTAGCGCAGCGTCCTGAGTGTGAGTTGTTTGTGTGTGTAGGTGCTGTGTGGACCGGAGATAATGCTGCTGAGTGGGAACACCTGAAGATCTCCATCCCCATGTGCCTGAGCCTGGGCCTGGTGGGCATCTCCTTCTGTGGTGGTGAGTGATCGAGCTTCACAGTCAGCTGTTACCCCGGTGGTCTGTCCCGTTGGTTTGGTAAAATGGCCAACTAGCTTGAATAACAAGCTATTCGGAGAATGGCTGAACATGTTTGTTTCTGCCGTTCAAAGCTGTTCTTTTAAGTATTTTTCAGTACTTGTTATTAGTGTTGCACGGTGTACCGATACTTGAAAGGTACCGCGATACCCTGCCGTTACAAACGGTACGATTCCTCCGTTTCATTAGTATCGGTACTTTAAGAATGACGGGGAAAAGTACTCCGGTGAGAAAGCGCCGTTTTAATAACAGCCGTGTGTGTTCAGCGCTCTGCTTCCACTCCCTGCACTGCAGCCGTGCCTGCAGTCCCGCCCCTCTCAAGCACGTTCTAAGTCCTTCCCCTCTCTCGTGCACGCGGCCACGCGCTAGCTGCCAGAGCATGTGAGAAAACGAGAAGCATGGCTGCAAGTGGGAGTGCAACTGCCGCTGCGCCTCGGCTTGTTGACAAAAAAGACACCAGAAGCGAAATTTGGAAGTATTTGAGCTATATCTCTGACAGTGAGGGCAAGCCTACGGACACCACGAGGCCTGTCTGTGAGACATGTTTTAGATCCCTGCAAACCAAGGGAGCCAACACATCAAACTTGGCTAAGCACCTCGCCAACCGGCATCCAGACAGGTTAGCGAATGTGATAGATAACATAATTACATCATGCTCAGCCCATGCCCTCAAATCTAAGTCAAACCAGTGTAATTTATTTTGTGACAAACGAGGCAATTAATGGCAATGATAACTGTCTAATATGGCTATCTTTTTAGCTAACTTACCAATGTGGCTAACATCTGCAATATATATTTTGTTAATAATTATTTATATTACTGTATATTATGTTAATAAAATATTAAAACAATTATATTTTATAAAATAAAAAAGTTGTTTGAGATGATGCTGAATTTTATTTAATACGAATTCTTATCATTTATTTTGTTTATTGTTTTCATTGTTTAAAAGTTTGTGTTATGGTTCTGGTGTGAAATAAAGCACAATAATTACATTTAAGATTGTTTCCCTTTTTTTAAGAAAAGTATCGAAAAAGAATCGGAATCGCAATTCTTGACTTGGTATCGGTATTGAAACCAAAATGTTGGTATCGTGACAACACTACTTGTTATACCATGTTGAGTTTAATAATGTTGCCTTTTGATTAGGGATGCCCGATATTGGTTTTTTGAAACCGATACCGATACCAATAACTTCCTGCTTCTCAAGACCGATACCGATAACAAAAACATTTTTACGCCACTAATTATTTTAACGCGATTAACGCATGTGTATTTTTTTTCCTTGGCCGCCCCGTAGTTTCAGAGCGCATCGAGTTTAAAATACCATCTACAAGCTGATGCTGACAGCCCCGCTCCTGCCGCCCGCTTGTGGCAGACCACACTTCCACGCTCACCGGCAGGCACCGACTGGCCATCTGGAGGACCGGGAGGGTGTGTGTATGTGTGGCCCGAGCGAGCGAGAGAGAGACCTTACGTGCATTGTTGTTGTTAGCATCTGGTGCTAGCTAGCTGCGCTAACGGATATAAGGAGCTGTTTAAATGAAAACAGAGGAGCGACATTTCGCCACAACTGCGCCGAGCACTTGACTTTATGCAGGAAGCCAGACAGTGGGACATTGTACGAAAAGTCAGCACACTCAGCACGGATAGTGCGCAACATGATTGCAGCGTCCAGGCAGCTCCGGTTCGAGCATATGCCTTGAGTTGCACATAGCTCCATCGCTCATACCACCGACGACATGTTTGTTTACCGTCCTGGCTTCACGGCCGCACACCATTTACGTCACAGCCAGGCATGAGTTAGGGAGCGCTGGATTTGTGAAGAACTCCCCTCTTCCTAAACCACTAATACCACAGTACTGGCAAAACGGGAGGAGCCGAGTGAAAAACAAGCGCCCCTCATCCCAATCCACCCACACCGCAGTATTTTTTCTTTTTTTTTACCCAAAAAATATATTGTATATTATCGGGGCTATTAATACTGGTATCGGGTTTATCGGGATGACGTCATAATTCCTAATATCGGACCGATAATTATCGTGCAGATAATTATCGTGCATTCCTACTTTTGATTTATTGTAGCAATTCATGATATTAAGACATTTTAGAAACTGATATTAACATGGTTTTATATTTTTGTTTTTTTACTCTATACATCAGACCTAAAGTGTATTTGTACTTTTATTGTCCATACATCTAAACTATAGTAACACACTGTTTTGATATCCAACGTATGATGTACTGTACTTTTATAACATGTCAGTATCTTTATATATATATATATGTATTCCTATACTTACGTTAATATACTCTGCACTGAACTGCTTTTGCCTCTGGTAACATGGAACTTTTGCAATGACAATGAATCTATTTCAAACCCCACAGTGAGGCAGGATTTTGAGATATTCCCGGAAATAGATGTTAGTTTGTTAACTAAGTTGTCAAGGAAACATGCACTGATAAATGCACGAGGTGTTGCCATGGTGTGAGCGCAGGTTCCCTTGTTGTATTTATATTTAGCAGCGATGCTCACTGTGTGTTTGAATCTCATATTCATGATTTGATCAGGGTTTTGTCACTGCACTGAGGTTAAATAAACTTGCGTTTAGTTTAAGAAAAACAAATGTCTTCCCCTTCGGGTTAAGCTCTAGATGTAGAAGATCTCAGGAGGTCGTTGTGTCTGCCTCTTTTATGTACACCCTCCTTTGAATAGCCCAGCTCCAGCACTAACACTGACCCCACCTGTCTGTCTCCTAGCTGACGTTGGTGGTTTCTTCAAGTCTCCGAACACGGAGCTGCTGGTGCGTTGGTACCAGACGGGAGCGTACCAGCCCTTCTTCCGGGCCCACGCCCACCTGGACACCCCCCGCCGCGAGCCCTGGCTGTTCGGTCCAGAAAACACTGCGCTGATCCGTGAAGCCGTGCGCCAGCGCTACACCCTGCTGCCCTACTGGTACCTGCAGTTTTACCACGCTCACCGCACCGGGGAGCCCATCATGAGGTGAGGATGGGGCAAATAGTTTATGGGGCAAATAGTTTATGTCCTCTTACCCTGTAGTGATGAGTTACAAAACCATCTCCCATCAATGTGCATTATTTGCCCAATACAGGGAAATGGACATTAAAAACTAAATTCACAGAAAACTATTTTTATGTTCATTTAATTACTGCCGTTTTCAGTCATTTGCTTTGATGTGGATAACATATGAAATAATGTTACCTTGTTTCAGACCTCTGTGGGTGGAGTATCCTGAGGATCCTGCTACTTTCGCTCTGGAAGACGAGTTCTTAATCGGTGAGAAAGAAAAAAAAAGATTTTCTTGTTAAAAGTGAGATCGATTTATGATTTTAGTTTTAAAAAACAAACATGTTTGCTGGTCAGAGTTGCTTCCTAAATGATACAATATATATGATTATAGACAGGGCTACACATAACTGGTGCGCATGCGCACCTCTGCCAAAAAAAGAGCACCGGGTAATTTGAAACAAAGCGCATTTGCGTACCAACATTGAGAGAGAGGGAGAGAGAGAAGAGAGAGAGAGAGAGAGAGAGAGAGAGAGAGAGAGAGAGAGAGGGAGAGAGAGAGAAGAGAGAGAGAGAAAGATATTTGCGAGTTGCATACATGTATGAACCATGATATGAACTCAGGGCCGGCCCGTAGCACTGGCTAGATGTTCGCCTAAGGCGCCAGATCTGGGGAGTCGCTGCGCTGGCAGTTCTGGGAGGGAAAAAAACATTTTGACCGTTGGGGCTCATCCTAATTTTCGGCCTTGATGTAACAATATTCATAATTAAGTAAATGTAACACCCTTTTCACCCCGGTTACACGTTTCATTTGCCCTGTACGATGGGCGCTGTAAGTGATGAAAATGGGGGATGTTGGCTTATCTGGCGCCCGCAGCTCACAGCCAAAATGCGAGGGAGAGAGGGAGGGTGCACCGGTACCAGCGCTGTTGTTATTAGAATCTGGTGCCGTGCTAGCTGCTCTAACGGATATAAGAAGAAGATGTTTCTACAATAATGTGGAGGGAGAGTCCTCTCCAGTCAGACTGAGAGGCTGATAAGTTAACTACAGCTCAGTGAGGTAAAGGACTCTTTGTCTAAGTTCAAACGGTTTGGTCGCAATTTATGTAAACACATATTTCCAAGGCACTCCTTTATAATTATTGGGATAAACAGGTTTTAAATCATTCCAATGTATACTATAGGACAGTAACCAATTAAAATATCCTTTAAAACTGGAGAGATTTAAAAAAAATGCATAAATAAATGTTAAGGTAAAATAAGATATGAATGAACAACACAAATAAAATAAGTTACATTCATTTGTTATTGGCTATGGTAGGTTATTGGTTATGTTCACATACTTATTTGATTACATCCACTTGTCTAAGATGACAACAGAGACTTTCGACCCAAACCCAGCTGTTGACTTGTGGATGCAAGCAGCTAATCACAGACTCAACCAGAGAGAAAGAAGTAGGCCTACATCATCAGCTACCATGTCTGACAGAGAGGAAGACAGTGAGGAGAACAGTCAGGAGGGTAGTGATGACAGTTTGTAGGATTACTGGTCGTGCTAATGTTGTCTTGTGTTCACCTCTGCATGTGTGTTACTGTGTTCACCTCTGTGTGTTCAGTGCCGTGTGTCTGGCAAATAAAGTCAAGACCCCCTCAAAGTTACGGTTTATTTCATTTTAAGGATGAGCACCAAGCAACATCTCCAGGTGCTCCTTTGAGAACCAGGGCAAAAAAGTTATGTGCACCCCTGTTTATAGAATAACCATGCTGTTGTTACTGTTGTGACATAATGATAGAACTTGTTTGGTGTAGATCTGTTCAGTTGAGCCCTGAAACAGCTGACTTACACGAGGTGAGACTTTAATTACATTTTGAATTAAATTGTTACAGGGAGAGACCTGTTGGTGCACCCAGTTACTGAAGAGGGAGCCAGGGGGGTCACTGCGTACCTGCCGGGGAAAGACCAGGTGAGAGGAAGAAGCACAGTCAGAGCTCCTCAGATCTGGGACTCTGCCGTACAGTGACTGTCTCTTTGTGGTGTCTTTAGGTTGAACTTCAGATTTAAACATTCTCTATAGGAGATGACCGCCGTTTCAGGTGTCCATTGTGTTGAACAAACGTTGGTGTAACTCTTGTGCTTGTGTTCCTCAGGTCTGGTTTGACGTCCACACCTTCCAGAAGCACAACGGAGCCCAGAACCTTTACATCCCCGTCACCATGAGTTCTGTAAGATACTCCATTTCTTCACTTTAAGGCCTTATATAGCAGTTTATTTGCTTTGTTTCCTCTGGTGTTAATATGGAGCTTCCTGTCTTCAGATCCCTGTGTTCCAGCGTGGAGGCTCCATTATTCCCAGGAAGATTCGAGTGCGCCGGTCCTCTTCCTGCATGATGCAGGATCCCTACACCTTATATGTAGCCCTCAACCTGCAGGTAACTCAATCGTCAAAACTGTCATCCACTGCTTTTTTGAAAGGTTGCATATAGTCCTTTCTGACATGTTGACCTTCTGTCTGACAGAGAACTGCAGAGGGTGAGCTCTACATAGACGACGGCCACACCTTCAACTATGAAAAGGAGTTCATCCACAGGAGGCTGTCCTTCGCCAACAACGTCCTCTCTTCTGTGTGAGTCATGAGTGTTCTCTGTTTCAGTTCAGTAGAAAAAAGGTTTAAGCTAAAATAATCTAAAAACCAATATGATTTGTATCGTAGGTGTTTCTCTATAGTTGACATAAGGGAATTGAATGTGTCTTTGCTTGTTCCACAGTAACCTGGCTCCAGAGGCCCAGTTCTCCACTGGCTCCTGGATCGAACGCATCGTCATACTGGGAGCCAGTAAGCCCAGCAAGGTGCTCCTGAAGACTGATGGTGAGTGGAGATAAGTGCTTATTTAAGAATGTGTTAATAAAGGGGGCTGAGTTTCTGTTATGTTTTAATTATTAATTTTTCAGGAATATTATTCAGTTTTTTGGGGCAAATTCAGGTAGACTAAAATGTAGCCATCTTAGTCAAAGAAAGTAATTTAAGCATGATTCCAGTTGATGAAAACTATTGGGATTTATTTATTTTTTACTCTGATTATGAACATTTTGGTAAATCTGGTGTCTCCAAACTATCACCTTGTTTTCCCAAGCCCTTGTGTTGTCATTAAAAATAATAAAGGATTTTGATTGAGTTAAAGTGGTTTCTATATCGTCTTAGTTATAGGGAAAAGGATGTCATTACCATATTCAATCAGTTTTCATTAACCAAATTAACACTGTTTCTTCAAGGTCGTTGGTTTCTCATGTTGCGCCCTAAGGATTTAAAAGAATGTTTCCGCTGTGAGATTATTCTTCCCAAAAGTTTTTATTCTAACACTCTTTCTGTTTTGAAGATGGTCAGGAGAGCCAGGTAGAGTTTGACTTCGACGCCTCCATGTCGGTGTTGACGCTCCGCAAGCCCGGCATGAACGCCGGAGCAGACTGGAACGTGATGCTTCAGTAACCATGGAGAGGAAAGGAGGAGGAGAAAATGACTGACCAGAGAGAGAGAGAGCGAGCAAGAGAGCAAGAGAGAGTGAGAGAGTGAGAGGGAAGCGCTGATGTCCATGACTAACTACAGCAAGACAACAGGATAGCCGTCATGAAAAATAAAGGACATAAACACACACAATGCATTATATATATACACACACACACACACACACACACACACACACACACACACACACACTCAAACCCATGTAGACCTGTCAGTCGAGCTGAGCCACGTAACGTTGCTGCCATGTCCCTCTTGTGTTCAGTCGCACTGTAATACCTAACAACAACAAGAGGAGGTTACTTCTAGATAGATAATCATCTTTGTCACATTTTTCAAATAGATAATAATTGAAAAAAATAATGTAATTGTAAAGAGTCCATTGGGTTAAGAAAGAAAACCTGCAGGCACTCTAATTTTTCTTCTTTAATCTTCTACGTTGTTGTCCATCCACTCAGAAGAAAGATCACTGTGGGATTTAAAATGAAGGTCAAAGCAGACTCGCCCCACCTGCCGTTGATTTCCTCTTATCTGTTTCTGACTTAATGCTCTCAACATGCATTCCACCCCTCTTTAAAGCCAAGCACTTCATTCAGCGCAAACCTCGACCTTCTTTACTCGTGCCACATTTCATAGATTTTGGAGAGGGCTTGCCAACAATCAGCTGTCTGGCTTCACATGTTACTTTCATCCTGCTGAACTTATTGGTGCCATCAAATGGAAAGCCTCTTTCTTAGCTGCAAGTTCATTCCTATGTGGCCTCAGAGATAAATGTATGTGCATGGAAATAATTCATTGTTCAGTACGGAAGGGCTCGGGTCGTTCTGCTGGTGCACAGAGACGGGATTTTTAGGCGTTCTTTTGAACAAACTTGGCAGTGGGAATCGCTTCCGGGGACTGAACCACTGATGTGTGCGGATGATGCTGTTGACATGCTTTCCTTTTTTTATTGATTTATTTTCCAAGCTTTGTTTACTAGATATGTTTCTTTTTAATGCACTTGAGCGTGATTTGAGAACTTTAAAAGATGTTTAGATTGTTCATGTTTAACTAGGTGTCGGGACCATGTGGCATCTCCAGTGCTTCATTTGGATCTTAATTAAGGTGTTGAATCTTTAAAGATGTTTCATGATGATATAAAGCCTTTTGATACACTTCTTGAAGAGTGTAGATTAATATTCCAATCATTTTCTGGAGACTCTGGATTGTGTCCCAACTAGTCGGATCGTTGGACCTTTTTTAGGAGTTTTGAGTTTGTCTGCTCGATTGTTTTTATGATCATAAATGTACATGTTGCTGCAATTTTGTTGGTGATGGCTTGAATTGGAGGAAATAGAAGTGAAGGAACTGACTGTCAAAGTTGTCGGATGTACTCTAAAAGATTAAACCAAGTGAAAATAAAGTTGACCAAATGTAAAAGAACTTCCATTTTTATTCTTTCCTACTTATGTTGTTGGTTTACCATTTTCTCAAAGGTATGAAGTCTGTCTTTAAACAACAAATGTCATCTTTTATTAAAAAAACAAACAATTGTACATTCATATGAGAAAAAACTGAATAATAAATTAACATTTATGTAGGTAGGAATACTAGCGAATAAAAAGTCAAGTTGAGTAAATGGTAAGAATATATAGTTGTGTAACTGTAATATGTGAAATAAAAACAATTGTATCAAATGGACGAAAAAGTACTTCATTACGATCTCCTACATTAACGGGGGTCAACACTGGTTCATATCGGCAACGTTTTTATATTTGTTGAGAATATGTTTTGAGTTCAATGAGTATTTTATTGAAACATTATACCAACTGCTGTCTCAGGCAGACATGAATGTTTTACTAATTATAGATAAATTATTTATTCTTAAGGCCAAATAATAACGTGCTACTATAATAAAACGTTACACTGTTAATTCCCTGAAGTTAATGGAAACTGCAAAAGATCTCTTATATGATCTGACCAATGAACTCATGTCTTAATAACTTACAATCACTTACAATTTTTCTGTGCTATTAATATTGCTTGTGTACATTGATTATGTTGAATCATGAATTGTCTGTTCAGCATAGATGAGGATAAATATCACAGTTTAATGATTTAATGTTTGCTGTTTAATGTTTTGCTGTTTGAATTAAAAGTGTTCATCGGTGTCTTGTCGCATGTTAATGACGTCAGCGAGACGTTGTTTCCCATCATGGCGGCAGAAGGCTGTGACGAGTTGAGCGGCAACGGGGAGCTGGAAGAGTCCTCAGGTAGTTTCAATAACCTTAATAAATATACAATGCACACTTACGTTATTTGATAGATATAACTGGGCTTTCCTTTCACCTGCAAGGATTTCAAGTTAAGGCTCCGGTTGTATCTGCTTTAAGGATACACAAGCATGAGGAGCTAGGCTAAGCTAACGGGATTTCAAGTACACACAGCCCCAAACAGCAGCACAGTGTTGTGTTCACTGACTTTAACTCACTAAATGTTTCCTCCCTGGGTTTGACTAAGTGTTGAGCTTCTGCTAACTTATTATTAGTTTAATTATGTACAAAACATCCAACATGTAGTGTAGTCATCGCTGCAGTGGAGCTCCAACCCGTAAACTGGTTTTAATGAATGAAACATAGCTCTGCAGGTGTAACGATTCAAGAATAAAAGCCTAATAATAGCATTTCAATGTTTTGTTCTCTTGGGTGTGTTTGCAATGTGTTTGTTCAAAGATACGTGTTGTACTTTAGCAGCATATCTGGTTTGGCTGGTGAATAGGGAACAAGTACAGTGACATAAAAACATACGTACGAGATTTTATTCTTTTATTATCGTGATGTTTTCGTTACGTTTTTTGCGATGATAGTCTTGAGTTGGTCTTCATTGTTATTTTAAACAGTTTCCACTAACCTTGCTTGTTTATCTTGAGAGATCTTGCTGTAATACAAACACTTTACAGACTATGAATCTTCTACTTAAAGTTTGTTGTACCTCTAGTTTTTTATTATAATTTTTAAAGCATGTGGGGTTTCACTCACTGTTGTTGTTTTTGTTTTGGCCATTTTTCACAAACGTGTACAGGAAGCAGAGAAAGGTTCATTAATAACATCTTATTCCATTAAATTGATCAATGCCTTTTTCCCTATGGATGTCTATTAGTAGTATTCTTTTTAGATACGTCCTCTCAACATCCTGAGTTTCTGTGCCACAGCATCTCAAGAAAATGACCACAATGAGATAAACGTGTAGAAGTGAAGCAAGATTTCAGAGTGCAACATCACAGCAAACAACTCCTCAGTCTTTTATTTACTGATTAAAAATAGTTGTCTGAAGTTGTTGTTTTAAAAAAAAAACGGCTGGTTAAGACATTGTTGTTTGGCCAGTCATCCATGGCCTGTGATGAAAATATTACCTCAGATCAATTTAAATGACCGTTTTTTAAATAAAAGGATAATGGCCTTTGGCAGGCCTGCTCTTTTTTTACAGTAAAAATACGTTACAACTTTTCCGATGAAAAGAACGATGGGTAAAAGAAGTAGCTTTCAAATGGAGCGTCCCTGTATTATGCTCTTTAATTATTTAAATGTAGATTGTCTGACTTTTTGATTGACTTCCTCTTCAGCTATGGAGGCCTCTGAGGTTCCTGCCTTGCCTCCGACTGAGATGTCCGAAGAGAACGGCAGCCCCCCAGAGGCCCCTCAGGTCTCCGTTGGCCCCGACCCGGCCACCTTCTGCATGCCCCCGGCTACAGAGGACGAGGAGGGAGAAATACCTGCAGACTTTGAGCGGCTGTGGAAGGCCGCACACGACAATCCTCAGGACTTCACCAGCTGGACCGACCTGCTGCAGTACTGCGAGCAAGAGGTGTGTGTTTGGGGCTTTACCAGAGAGAGAAGGGGGAACCAGTGTAGTGACGATGTAGGAAAATACATTTATTTATTATTTTCTTCTTTTGTTTTATAAGATTTTTTACGTTTTGTTATTTAGTTAGGTTGTTTTTAATTTTGTATATTGGTCTGTTTCAGATTTTTTGTTATAGTTTTGTCTCTATTTATTAATTGTATTCAGTATATACATCATGTTTTGGTATTTTTTTTTAAGTCCCCATGACGTCACAAAACACTCGATCTCTGGAGGCTTGCTGTAGCCTCGCTTGACATTTAAACATTCTTCCTCTCCTGTTCAGAGTCACATGACAGCGTCTCGCAGAGCACTGGAGGCTTTCCTCGCTCGCTACCCGCTCTGCTACGGCTACTGGAAGAAGTACGCTGACCTGGAGCGCCGCGCAGGATACAACAACAAAGCAGAGGAGGTAAAACGGGAAAGAATATACTGTGCCTTGTTTTTCTTCCCCACAACTATGTAAATATGTGCTTTAAAAAAGTGTTTTCCACTGGTTCTTAAAAACTGATGTTGTGGTTTGTTGTGTCAGGTGTGTATTCAGGGTCTCCAGGTCATCCCTCTCAGTGTAGATCTGTGGATCCATTACATCAATCTGCTGTTGGGGACTCTGGACATGAACCTGCCCGAGTCCCCCGATCGGATTCGCAGGTACTCTCCTTTAAGACTTTGTTTTGACCTGTATTTTTGTTTTGTTTTTATTCTGTTTGAATGGAAATTGAAGATAAAATATCAGAATAAAGGGTCTGTTTGTGAGAGCTGTATTCATACCTTACTTATTGTCCGTTCTCAATCCCCAGTGTGTTCGAGGAGGGGGTTTCAGCGGCAGGTCTGGACTTCCACTCAGACCGGCTCTGGGATCTGTATGTGGAGTGGGAGAAGGAGCAGGGCAACATGAAGAACGCAGCAGCCGTCCTGGACCGAGTCCTCAGAGCCCCCACCCAGCTCTACAACACCCACTACGACAAGTACGACCACACACACACACACACACACACACACACACACACACACACACACACACACACACACACACATACACACAGGAGATTAATGTGTGTGTGCCTATTTAAACTGCTTCTACGAAAATCACAAGACAAAAGCATTGTTTGTTTCCTATTGTAATAATATTTTGTAATCTTGATCGAATATTCCCATTTTACTTGAACACTTGTTCACTCTTTTTCTTCTCCTATTAATCTCATTTTGTGTCTCGCTCCGTCCTCCTCTCCTGCCCACTTTCAGGTTAAAGGAACATTTGAACGGCCATGAGCCCAAAGACGTCCTCTCCCCGGAGGAGTACGAGGAGCTGAGGGCGTTCTGTCGTCAGACTCAGAAAGCAGAGCGAGCGGAGCAGGCTCAGGAGGAAGAGGAGGAGAGGCCGCCCGGGGAGGAAGAGCCCGCAACCCCCGAGGGCACAGACTCAGTGAGTAACACATCTACCGATTGAAACATGTATTCTTTAGTGATCGCAAAATAGATGAATTAAATATAATTTCTGCTCTCTTTAGGAGGAATTGATGCAGAAGATCAGGGAGCAGGTGCTGATTCGCAGGGACAACGTTTACCAGGACAACGAGGGAGAAGTCCGGAAGAGATGGAACTTTGAAGACGCTGTGAGTTTCTTTTTGTTCCCTTCCCTTCTCTCAAACTCGACTTTTGCTGTTTCTCCCTCACCATATTTTTTGTTTATTCATTCACGAAACAAAAAGCTTGATAACTGGTCAATCCAGGGGCTTGGTCATTTAAATGTTATGTGTTTTAGTAGTAAAAACGTTTAGCTTTTCTACAAGAGGTAAAAGAAGCCTAATCAATCGCTCTTTCTTTGTCCCACAGATCAAACGCCCCTACTTCCACGTGAAGCCCCTGGACCGCGTCCAGCTGAGAGCCTGGCACACCTACCTGGACTGGGAGATCGCTCAGCTGAACTCGGACACCAAAGACCCCCAACAAGGTGACCACATGCTGTCATATAATCCCAGCCCTTCTTCAGAGGGCCCAGATAAACCCCAAGTCAAAAAAACAGTTTTACTGGTCGAGCTACCTATTCAGCTAAAATGTTTTTAGAGATGTCTGACTACTCTCAGATATTAGGAAACTAGATTGAAACCGGCTTTCGATGCTCAAAGTAGCGTCATATTGTTTATATTATCTTGGGTAACAGGGTCATGATCTGTAGAAAGAGAAATCTCTTTTTGGGGCTTTAACTTGAAAACTCAGCAACTCACACCAAAACAATCTGGATTAATAGAAAGCAATCCAGGTAAGTGGAAGAATATGTATTTTTAATATTGTGGTCAAGTGTGTTTTTTATATTTGAAATATATTACTGTTTTGACGCCATTGTCTCTGCCTAGATCCAGACCAGGCGGACACAGAGGGGTCAGAGGTCACGGCAAAGCCTCAGGAAGAAACACAGGATACTGCGGTTTCTCGCAACGACTATAAGGTCCGCATCCTTTTCGAGCGATGTCTGATCGCCTGCGCTCTGTATGAGGAGTTCTGGATCAGGGTAAGGAGTAAATGTGTGTGTGTGTGTGTGGTGTGTGTGTGTGTGTGTGGTGTGTGTGTGTGTGTGTGTGTGTGGTGTGTGTGTGTGTGTGTGTGTGTGTGTGTGTGTGTGTGTGTGTGTGTGTGTGTGTGTGTGTGTGTGTGTGTGTGTGTGTGTGTGGTGTGTGTGTGTGTGTGTGTGTGTGTGTGGGTGTGTGTGTGTGTGTGTGTGTGGTGTGTGTGTGATTGATGTGGTGTGTGTGTGTGTGTGAGACCGTCTTAATAGAGAGAACATAGTGTGTGTGTT